TTTAGTATTTTATCCATATAGGATGACCCCTTATTTTAGTGGCAACTTCTTCAGCTGTGTTAGTAGCATCAGGGACGTGAGCAGAACACAGAAGACAGTGTATAGATGCAGGCGGGATGTGAATGGTGGTGTGGCTAAAGAAAGAGGAGAGGCATTTTAAGAACTACTGAGAAGATAAAATCGACAGCACTGGCTGTCAGGGATAGTAAGCCAGAGACTGAACAATAGGCTTAAGTTTCTAATCAAGTAGGAAGTGATGCTTCCTTCCCCAGGATGGGGAGGAAAGGATCTGCGAGAGGTTGTCAGAGATGTAAGGAACCCTTAACAAGATATAACGACTCCCTACAGGAGCATGGATTTTGTTATATTATGCTTCTAACCAGTTTTGTAACAATCTAACTAGTATTTAGCAGGTAATAATTTATTGATTGACTTAACGGCAAGAGCTGTTACTGCCCAGGGAAGTAAAATTATCAGGAAAAATTGCTCTCAGGCGTTCGTTTGATCTGGGTGGGAACACACACAGGAAGCTAGCTTTGGCATCTGTGCAGCCGTCCTCTTCCTGGTTGCATGCATCTCGCTGGACTGTATTGATTTACAAGCCCATTCTACAGAAATACAGATTGAGCTCCAAACCAAGTCTTGAAACATTAGTTGTCATTAGTCAGGGCCTAGCATAGGAGTGGGTGCATAGAAAGGACTCAGTGCATATTAAGAGGGAGAGTTGAGGGTTAACAGAAGAGTCTCTATGATCTATTGTGTACTATTTATGTCTGCTATGGGTGCTGGTGGGGCAGGGGCTGGGGGAGGGTGGGATTGCAGTGAGAAGTGAGGCACTCTCTAGCAGGCATTTCTGGCTCTGGTTTCGAATTTTATCTCTCATAGAATTAGGCTACACATTTTTAACAGAAATATTGTGATGGCAGAAAGGAATTAAAATGTATCTGTACCTATAACCAGACACATTAGAACTGAGATTTTGTTTTCTATATTACTTTCTTTCTTTCTTTCTTTTTTTAACTTTTCATTCTGAATCTACCATGTAATGAAGCAACATGCAGGCAAATTTACAAGGCAGCTCTGATTGGTACATCAACTCTACAGAGACTAGCTTGATAAGGAAATCTGACATATTAAGTATGCTTTTTGTTCTGCCTCTTTTTGGCATTCTTTTTTTTATATATTGAGATAGACATTCCCCTTGTTTATTTCTATGTTCTTTAAAAACAAAGCAGCTTTCTCTTACTGAGAGCCTGTTTTTCCTCTTCATCTTATATTTTGGATCAGAATATAAAATTCAATTTTTATCATAGTTAAAAGATAACCAGAGCTATTTGATCTGAGTTACTTTTGCTATTAGAGCAAAATCATAATTATTTTTGCTCCTCTATTCATCTGTACATATGATGTGTAGTTCTACTTTATTGAACTGATCGCTTACTTTAAAATTGCATAGCATTTTACCAATGACCATACTGGGAAAAGGGGTTGTGATAAATCTAGAGATGAAAAATCTTTAATGATAGTGATTGGGGTGGATTTCAGATTTTTGGTATAGAAGCACCATTAGTGCTTCTGATTACTTCTCTATTATCTTGAGCAGTGGATTAATTATACTTTCAAATAGGAGGCATTGCTCTTCTCTTTAGTCCTCCCTGTATGATCTGTTATTGAATTATTCATCTGCCTTTGGGGGTCTCTAAAGTTCTCCGTTAATCAGGATTTCAAATAGCTAAATATAGCTATAATGATAATAGTTAAATAGATTTTTATTAGAGGTGTTTCTCAGTTTTTACTTTCACTATTTAAAAAAGATTCTCAATATTTAAGGCAACATTTATAAGATTATTGCATTAATAATGAAACTTTTATAATGAATTTATTGAAAATGGCTTTTTTACTAACAGATTTTT